ATGCGCTTTCGCCTGCAGTGTGAACGCAGCCTAAGTGATAATCAGCATGTACCCACATCATTTTTGTGAATTCGAAAGTTTAGTAAATGTAAAAACAAAACAGCAAAAACTGCAACATTATAACCCCTCAGAATGTGTCTCCTGTGGAAGGTTTTTAAAATCTGAGCTTGACAGATGTTGTAAAACTTCACTTTCTAACATCTTCCAGAACTGGGATTGTAAAACTCGCTGCCTCTAACTATGTAAAGACTGACATAAGCAGCAGGACTGAGATTTCATTAAGCCCAGCCTCAGTTGTCTCACCAATCTGGCTGCTTTCTTTTCTCCAACACTGTCACGCTTGTCTCGATTGTCAGTTTAAATCCGTCCAACAAATGGGTCCAATAAACTAGACCTGCTCAACCCTTTGAAGCTGAGGAGCTAATCTGCAAAGATTGTAAATCACCGCTGGCCAAAATCTGGCCTGACATCAGGTTGCTGTGGGAATGATGACAGAGAACGAGAGGCAGGACGGCCTTTACCGTCACAGGGTGGTGAGAAGAAAGGCCGGTGCGAGCACAAGTCTGCAGTTTCTGTGCTGCGTTTGAGCGCTCGTTGTACTCGACATCAGCTTTGACCCCAGCCTATCATAGCGCTGCGTTTGTGTCGATGACCTGCAGGTACCTTTGCTGTCATAAGTCTGATGATTGGGGGCGTCGCTGTGAGGGAGGCACCAGACAGCATGTTTATGAATATCAATGCTACTGGAGCCAACGCATCTGATGCCATCAACGTGGAGCTTCGTGATAAGAGCAGGGTCCAGGTGGCCGTGATGGTCACAACCCTGGCGGGACTCATCCAGGTCAGCCTCCCACCTGCAGAGCAGCCGTGGCTAATCTGTTTATCCAAAGCAGCAGCAGCATGTCTGAATCACTGTTGATGTATCAACTCGATTTTAACTGTTTCTGTATGAAACATTGTTTTTCAAAAACAGAATGACCCCCCTCTTCTTCTGCATTCCTTTCAGATTGTTTTAGGTCTTCTCAGGTTTGGCTTTGTAGCAATCTACCTCACCGAGCCCCTGGTGCGAGGCTTCACCACAGCAGCATCCATGCACGTCGTCATCTCCCAGCTGAAGTACTTGCTGGGGGTGGAAACGCAGCGTTATTCTGG